GATTACTCCTCTGCTGTGTGTACATGGGGTCGTGCCTGTTGCCATTCTTGTTATTGTCGACCTCTCTAGGTCATTCTTGCCACATCTTCTTCGTTCTGGGTGGCTTAATGGGACTACGTCTGCGCTGTGTCTAGACTATATCTTCTCCTCCGAGGACGACAGCTAGGTATCTCGCCTCCTTGTCCAGCGCCTCTCGTCTCGTCTCTGCTCTGTCGCTGTATCTTTCGTGTGGTGTGTCTCTTCCTCTGTGGTCTCTGGCTCTCGCACGTCCTCTGTAGGCTCATATGCGGGTCACAGCTCTGTATGTCTGTCTCTTACGCTTCCTCCTCTCAGAGTTCAGGGCGCCGAGTGGCCTCCGCTGGGGCAGGGGGAGTGACGCTTTGTCCTCGTCTTCTCCTTCTCTTCCTCACTTTTTCTTTGCCTTTTCTCGGCATTCGCTCCGTGCCCATACACGGGTGGCCTTCCTGCCACTCGTTCTCCTCGTCTCTAACAGAACGATCTCTAATCTGCTTCCTCCTGCTCATCTCGTCATTAAAATCCCCATCTCTCTGTCTCTGTCTTCCTCTCTCTCTCTCTCTCTCTCTTTTTGTTCTTTCCCTTTTTCTTCACTCGCTCTCCCTCTGTCTTTCTTTCCTCCTCTCTCTTCTCTGTCTCTCTGTCTGTTTTCTTCTGCTGTCTGTCTGTCTCTCTCTCCTCTTCTCTCTCTCTCCTCGTCTCTCCTCTCTCTCTCTCTCTCTCCTCTCTCTTCTCTCTCTCTCTCTTCTCTCTCTCTCTCTCTCATCTCCCTCTCTCCCTCTGTGTCTGCTCCGGGCTTCCCCTTTTATGTTCAAACTTTATATTTCTCTGTGATAAAAAAATCTTATGATCTAGCATTTTGACTTTCCTTTTCTTTGAAACACGTCATTTCCTTCTCTATCCACTTTTGTCTTCATTTTGTTTCTCTTTCCCCTCTTCCTCTTTCAGGCTTATTCTCTCCTCTTCGCTTTCTATCTTCTTCTTATGTCCTTATCCATGCCGGAGCCTTGTCATCCCCGCACCTCCTTCAGCTTATCCCCCCCTTCCAGAAGATATTTTACACTCAATGACGGGCTCGCCGCTTGCATAATGACTTTCTCTACAAAGAGAAAAACCACACCACAAATAGATACTTAAGAAAATTGACAACAAAAAAAAAAAAAAAACTTCTTAGAGTTTGCCCTACACCAGTGTGCAAAAGACATAATTATTAGCACTGTAACGCCAAACCAGGTTGGTATTTTGGAATACTATTCACGAAAGATAAGATAATTAGGATTAATAAAGGTATGATACCAAAAATGCCTCACTTGAGGTGGTACGGACTAATACGACTCTATCAGAGGCAGCGTAGAGGAAGGTAAAAATAAATAAGAAAAAAAATATACAAAAAAAATACTTCATGAGACAATAAGTGCTGCTGACCTTAATTGAGACCATTAAGAGGAAATGTAAGTCGAATGCAAATATCAGAGACGCAAAATTGATTTTAAGTGAAGGATAAGAAGAGGGAGAGGGAGGGGAGGGGAAGAGAGAGAGAGAGAGAGAGAGAGAAGAGAGAGAGAGAGAGAGAGAGAGAGAGACGAGAGAGAGAGAGAGAGAGGAGAGAGAGGAGAGAGAGAGAGAACGAGAGAGAGAGAGAGACAGAGACAGACAGACAGAAGGAGAGAGAGGAGACAGACAGAGAGAGAGAGAGAGAGATGAGGGAGAGAGTAGAGAGAAGAGAGAGAGAGAGAGAGAGAGAGATAAGAGAAGAGGAAGGAGCGGGTGAGGTGAAGTTAGGGGCCGCGGGCGTTAGGTTGGAGGAGAAGAGGAAGCAGTTATTAGATGAGGAGTGGAGTAGTGAGTGGGGGGGAGTGGCAGGTTGGGCGGGAGGAGCGGAGAGAGAAGGAGAGAGACATACGAGACAGACCAGAGAGAGAGAGAGAACAGAGGAGAGAGAGACAGAGAGAAGAGTAGAGAGACAGCAGAGAGACAGAGACAGAACACAGCTGACAGAGAGAGAGAGGAGAGTGAGAGAGAGAAGAGAGAGAAGAGAGAGAGAGAGAGAGATGATGAGGTAGGATGAGATAGGAAGGATGAGAGAGAGAGAGAGAGGAGAAATATAGTAGATGGGCGAGGGGAATAAAGAGTAGGAGAGATTACAGTAGAGAAAACTAAAATTAAAATCAAAGGGAAAGATATTGAGAGAGAAAATAAGAAGAGAAAAACAATACGAGGAGAAAAGAGAGAGAACGCAGAGAGAGAGGAGGTAGAGGACGAAGAAGAGAGAGAGAGAGGAGAGAAGGAGAGAGAGAAGAGAGAAGAAGAGAGAGAGAGGAGGGAGATGAGAGGAGGAAAGAGATAGAGGAGCAGACAGACGGAGCAGAGAGAGAGAGAACAGAGAGAAGAGAGATGAACATTAGAGAGGGAGTCAGAGAGCAGACGGCCAGAAGAGAGAGGAGGACAGAGAGAGACAGAGACAGACATGACAGAGAGAAGAGACATATGGAAAGAAGAGGAGACGCCGAGGCAGGAGGAGAGAGAGAGGGAGGAGAGAGAGGGAGAAGAAGAGAGCAGAGAGAGAGGGAGGAAGAGAGAGAGAGAAGGAGAGAGAGAATAGAAGAGTAGAGAAGAGAGAAAGAGAGAGAAATAAGAGAGAGAGGAGAGATATGAGAGAAAAGAATAGACGAGAGAAAGGCGAGAGATGAGAGGCAGAGAGAGAGAGAGAGCAGAGAGAAGAGAAGAATGGAGAGAGCACTAGAAGAGAGAGAGAGTAGAGAGTAGGGAGAGATGAGAAGAGGAGTAGAGCACGGTGTATGATAGAATTAGATAGATTAGAGGAGATAGGAGAGCGGAGAGGAGCCACCACTGAAGAGGAAATAGAAAACGGGCATTGCAGGGAATACTGAATTTCTTTCGGGTGACTGCACAAATAGAATCCAGAGAAGTGACGGAACGAGTAATTGGACCAACCGCCAGACACTCCAAGAGCCATTGCACGACCATTCGGCCCATCCCAACCCCGCTGCTATAAAGAAAGAAGATAAAATTTGCACAGACGTTCATAAAAACCTTAACTTAATTTCTCCAGAAAGGAAAAATGAATATGGCTAGTACATATTAGGAAGACGTCGCTAATTGAACGCAATTGCTATGGGCAAATTCGTTAGCTTGTGTATTTAGTACCTGCCAGCCCAGATAGTCTGCGAAAGGCGAGAGTAGAGATAGAGGTTCCTGTGCTAATTCATCTTGCATGTTGATTAGCAGTTAGGAGCGAATAGAGAGAGAGAGAGCGATGGGAGGGATTGAGGGAGGGAGATAGCAATAGAGAGAGAGGAGCGAGACGAGAGATGAAGAGAGATGGGGAGGGAGGGAGGGAAGGGAAGGAGGGGAGGGAGAGAGAGAGAGAGAGAGAGATAAGAGAAGAGAGAGAGAGAGAAGAGAGAGAGAGAGAGAGAGAGAGAAGGGAGGGAGGGAGGAGGGAGGGGGGAGGGAGAGAAATAGGAGTAGGAGCAGAGGGAGAAAAAGAGAATCGTAAGGAGAGAGAGAGAGAGAGAGTAGGGTGAGGAGAAGGGAGGGGGGAGGGATGGGAGCTGGGCGCGAAAGGAGGAGAGACGCAGGGAATGAGAGGATACGAGAAGAGAAGAGAGAGAGGAAGAGACAAGAGAGAGAGAGAAGAGAAGAGAGAGAGAGGAGGAGGGAGAGAGAGGAGTAAAGATACGTAATTGCAGAAAGAGGAAAGAGATTCCGAGAACTGAAGGGAGGGAAGGGGTATATATGAGAGGATGCATAACGCCACGCCTGAGTGATGAGGAGAGAGATGAGGAATGATAGAATAACGTATGAGATAGTGATAGAGTAGATAGAATAGACTAGATAATAGATAGAAAGCGAGAGAGTGAGAGAGAGAGAGGAGAGTATGGAGAAGAGAGAGATAGAAATAGAGAGCGAGAGAAAGATAGGATAGAGATAGATAGATAGATAAATGATAAGGTAGAGAGAGAGAGAGGAGACAGACTGACAGACAGGACAGGACACAGACAGACAGAGACACAGGCATCACAGAGAGATAATGATAAGAAATTTAAAAAAATCAGAGCACCTAAGCACAGAATCCCCATTCACCAAAGACACAGAATTCCCACGGACTTTCAAAAAAAAAAAAAAAAAAAAAAAAAAAAAAAAAAAAAAAAAAAAAAACGCAAAAAAAAAAAAAAACGCAAAAAAAAAAAAAAAAAAAAAAAAAAAACGCGAAAAAAGAAATTTAGAGTTTGCTGCCACGGGCGCCACTGGTTCTCTCCCGGGTGAAGAACCTAATGAGGTCGAGTCCTGGATTCTCGTAATTAATACGGTTCCCTTTCTCTTTTCCTAACTGTGGAAAGAAGTAAAGT